CACCTCAGACAAGCACTTCGCCGGGAATGGGCCAAAATACCACAGAAACACTTGCGGGCAGCGTGTGATGGTTTCATTGGCCGTCTCAAAGCCATTATTCGTGCCAAAGGTGGACATATCGAAAACTACTGATACATTTTGAAATTTGATGTATTTTCCAACATTTTTTGCTTTGGAAAAATAAAATTCATCAAAAAATAAAAAAATTATAGCGTTTTCAAATGTTGCAGTTCAATTGCCTCACCCTGTATATTAACCCTTATAATGCATAAAACCGCCTCTAGACGGGCAACATTTCAACGCCTGTAGAACGTAAACCGTACATTGGATCACATTGCTTCAAAGGAAATTTTTATTCGTCAATGTTTTTTCTCTTTATTTTTGTCTTTGGCAATATTTCTCTATGTAGTGTGATTGTAAAGTTATAAACAAAAATGTGTGCAAAAACAAAAATTTGACAAAATAAATTATTCGAACTCCAAATTAGACACATTTTAGACACGTTTAAACAATGGATTTGATTGTTCTCTGATTTATGTCAACCAAGTACCAGTACTCCCAAAAAATCGCCATGGGAAAAATAAATGCATTAGAGGATTAATTCAAAAAAAGATAAAGCCAGCAAAGTTGATAATTTGTATTTGATAACAAAGTTTCTTCAATCAAAATTATATCGATGCTGCTTTGAAGGAAACTGACCAATATTTTAAAATATTCAAATTATTGAGAACTTTGTGACATACATAGTTTTGAATGAAATGTTATCTTTTTCCCCAGGAGGTTGATTTGTATGCAAAGAACGTCGAGAAGAAATTCGGCCGTTTCCAGAATGAATTGGCGTGCATACCGTTTGATCAAAACCATCATGATGCTCATATATCTGCAATGTTCCCAGACTACGAACGTTGGTCGGTACTGACGGTGAAGGAAATGCCATCCACTGAACCTCAACCGATTGATTACGATGAAGTTGATGAACGTCCTACAAAACGGCCACGTCTGTCAATTGATGCCGTTGAAGCTCCAAATCATGATTCAACAAAAGCCATTGCAATAATTCGAAACCAAATGCAAATCATCGAGCATGAAATGACCGAAATCAATAGCGTCAAAGATAAAGCCCAGCAGAAACTGATGAATGAATTGAATAGCGCAAAGAAAGCACTTGCTGATGCTCAAGACGATAATAGAAAATTGATGGATGACTTGCGGTCTGTGTCTTTGGAGCGAGACAAAACCCAGGAAGGAATGACCAGAGCTGAAGATATGCACACCAATGAGGTAGCAACGCTCAATCAAACTTACCAAAATAAAATTTCCGAAGCAAAAGACGAAATCAAACGAGTTCGAACCATGGAACAGATAAAAGCTAAAGCAGCTGTGAAAGATGCCATATCGGAGCAACTCAAGAAAATGAGCAAAATTGAAAAGGAAAACCAGCGATACTCCGGTAAAATTCAGGAAATCGAAACAAAGATACAACAAATTGTTGAGAATTTGTTGATCAAAACATCAGAACTGAAGAACACGACTGATGCATTGATCAAGGCAAAAGAGGAGTTGACCGAAGCAAAGGCAGACATCGAACGCATACGAAAAGAAAAGATAACAGCCGAAGAAGATTTAGAGAAGGTAACGCAAAAACATGACACCGAAATGGAAACTTTGAGGACACAGCTTCAAGCCAGTCACTTTAAAGTATTGGACAAACTTCAAACCAAGTTAGTGAAGGAGCACAACGAAATATTGAATACACTTCGACAGCAACACGACAATCAGTTGGAATGCGAAAAGAATCGAGTGAAGGTTGAAATAGAAAAATGGAAGATGGATCAACGACAAAAACTGGCTGATTGGAAAAACAAAATGCACGCTACCGTCGATGAAAGGCTTCCATTTTAAAGTGGATTGCATTTCATTTATCGATTTGACCAATTCATGCTGTGACTGAATTTCATTGACCGACCAACATTTATTTTTTTTCCCTTAATCAATTTCATTTTCTATCAAAGATTTCTTTGCTAAATTTTCAATAAGAAGAAGTTCTTATTAGGAACACTTGCTTGATTAACTAGAGTTAACGGGTTAAATTCACATTGATCAACATTATACTGGCTCATTTGTATACAAAACTATCCATAATTTTCATATGAATAAATTAAAATAAATGAAATTTAAAATTGGCATTTTTTTTTGTCAGAATGACACAAAAAAGATGTTGGTTTTTGTTTGAACTGGTGTAAAAAATAAATAAATCATAAGCCTGCAGTAAATTGAGATATGCTTTTTTCAATTTCCCACTTGATCCAATTCAATTTGAAACATAAGTATGTGAACGCATTCATTTCTCTCATCTTTGACATGTATCGATTGACAGTAGAACATATTCTCGACTGTCTGTACAACTGCATTAACACATTTGTGTCGATATTGCGTAATAACATTCAGCAAGCTAAGAAACGTAGTCAGTCGTATGAGAAAAATCTCATTTTAGTTGATTTCACAAAAAAGGTATCTTTGACGTTGATGAAGAGTGAAACAAACGGAAAGAAGGAGAATTGGTTCATCAAAGCATTGAAACAAACGGCAAAATGACGAGTGCAGATCAGTCTCACAACATTTCTGTAAGTAACATCAATTATTTTCTATAAGAAAAGTGGTAATTGTAACTTTTTGCCAAAGTTGAATGGTATAGAATTAGCTACAATCAACCAAATTCTAATCGGATTTTTCTTTATCTCGTCATTATTTGAAGGATCGCTATGACAAATTCTGTTGGAATTGTCATAGAAGAAACGCGAACATGTCATGTCCGACGTGTTTTCGATCATTCCACGAAAAGTGCCTAAAATCGATTGACAAAGACACGTCCCCAGTGATCTGCACAGTTTGCACGGTCAAAGAAACATCGGAATGTGCCTGTGATGGCATGTAAGTGAGAATTAAGGCTCGGAGCGATTGTTCTATATAAAATATGACACTCTTTCACTTCCAGGCAAGGTCATCTGAAAATGCTGAAGCACACGATGGTCGCCATTCTAAACAATTCAGACGTAAGTTAAGATCAATCACTGGTTTTCTTAAAGAGACACTTTCATATAGAAATATATGGAATAGAAAGTATTTTTTGGGATTCTCTAAACAGAATAGACTCATTTTAATCCGAAGTAGTTAACTGGAACTTAATAATTGCTCATTTGATTGCAGTTCCGCGTGTTCAAGGACTTGTCAGCATTGAAGAAGGGAGCAAATTACTGCGATGACGTCGTTAATCCAATCGATTTGGACGAAATTGACCGAAAGATTTGTCGTGAGCTCTACGATAGCTTCTATGCATTCCTCGTTGATATTGAATGTATTTATCACAATTGTTTCGTTTATTATGACGGTGAGTACCACTAGAGCGGTGAGTACCAATAAGCTGATTCGAAAATTTTTCAATAAATGATGAAAGTAACAATAGGGCAAATCAGGAATGGAAATTCTTATTTAATGTTCTTTCACTTATTGCAGATTGTCATGATCTCACCAGAATCGCCAGAAAAATGTTCGAAATATGTACACTTGAAACTGAAGCCATTTCAAGTTGTGCCGATTGTTACGAGAACAAGCACTTGCATCCAATGGAATGGCGTACAATGACATGCAAGAAGCCACATTTGGTCCTGTGGGCGAAACTCAGTCGATCGGTTAATTTTTGGCCAGCTAAGAAAGGATTCACACACTGGCCAGCAAAGTTGATAAGCATCGATGACAAATCATTAATCAATCTCAAAGTCATTTTTATCGAATCATCCGGACTTGTTGATATTTCAGCACTTGATTGTTGGTTATACTCCGCCAAAGATGCGAGTTCATTGAACTCAGGATGCAATCCAAATTACATTGAAGCCACTCTTAAGGTAAGCCAAGATAGAATTAAAAAACAATATTTTCAAACCGTTGTGAAATAAATTTAAAACGAAATATTGTCTTTTTTCCTAGGAGGTCGATTTGTATGGAAAAAATATCGAGAAGAAATTTGGGCGTTTCCAGAGCGATTTGGAACGCATTAAATTTGTTCGAGAACACCTGAATGATCACATGGCTGCAATGTTTCCGGACTATGACGGTTCAGCGAAGGTAATGGCACCCAGTCAAACTCCACCCATTGACGATGATAACGTTGATGATCGTCCAGCAAAACGGCCACGTCTGTCAACTGATACCGCTGAAAATCCAAATGATGGTTCGACAAAGGCTGTCGCAATAATTAAGTACATGCAACTTATCGAGCGTGAAATAACAGAACTTGAAAATGCCAACCACTTAAAGTCCCAGCAAATGTTGGATGAATTGAATCGCTCAAAAGGAGCACTTGATATTGCCCATGACGATAATCGGAAATTGGAAGATGCCTTGCGAACGGTGTCTTCGGAGCGGGATGAAGCAAAAGAAGCAATGGTTGAAGCCAATGAAGAAGCAGCAATTCAGGCAGAATTGATCAAGGCAATGAAGGAGAAAATCGAGTTATTGAAGAAACTTGGCTTGGGCTTTATGGACAAAAGATGGATGAGGCAATAGCGGACATCGAACGCGTTCGAGAAGAAAGGAAAACAGTCGAAGAAAAGTTACAGAAGGCGACACGGGATCATGAACATGAAATGAACGCTTTGAGGACACAGCTCAGCAACGATGGCTGGAATAAATTATTGAAACTGCAAACAAAGTTGCAAAAGGAGCACGACGACGAATTGGGTAAACTTTGCCAACATCACGAAAAACAGTTGGAATGCGAGAAAAATCGTGTTTCAATCGAAATTCAGAAGTGGAAGGAGGAACAACAACGCAAACTGGCTGACATGAAAAACAAGATTCAGGCTGCTGTTGACCAAAGTTTTTAATTTTAAATTGAATTGAGTTCAACTTTCAAACCATTTTGATCGATTCCTATTTATGATATTTTTCTCAACCAATTATTTCATTTCCAATCAAATATTCATTCGTTAGCTCAAGGACAATCTTATATTCGAAATATCCAAAATATTCACAAATTTTTGTTGAATGAAACCCTTTGTGTTGGCCTCACAATAAGAACATTTTCGAAATAATATCAAATTATTAGGTAATTCGAATGTACGAACCGTTTTGTAAGGCTCATATTTATGTCTAACAAAATTCATAACCATTCATATGAATAAAAATAAATTCAATAAAAAAAATCGAAATTGTTTAAATTTAAATTGCACAAAAAAGCGTGCTTTTAATATATCAATTTTTTCAGAGAGCAAAATTGGTTGGATTTACAGCTGAGATTTTCTGTTAATAGCTGTTTGGTACATTTCAATTCGTTGACAAATAAATCGTCACCATCGATATCGGATTTTCCATCATGAGTTAAAGCAATTTCTAGTTTCTTGCATGATTTCTGCAAACTACCGTTGTTTCGGTTTGCTTCATAGTTTTCAAAATCATAAAGAAACGAGAATAATTCGCTGTGTTGCTTTAGTGCTTTGAAACGATCAGTGACTGAATCAGTTGCGGATTCAATGATTGGTAAGAAAACTTTTGTTTCAAATTCCTCTGCATTTGTAACAGTTGTTACAACACCGAAAAAGGCAGGGGCGACGAAAACAATCAATAAAGCGATTCTTTATTTTAAAATAATATATTCTCTATTTTAAAATAAATAATTGCTTCCCATTGACGCCCTTGAATATTTTTCGGCGCCCTTGTGTTCCAAATTTGAATGAAAAACGGCGCTCTCACGCTTCATTCAAGAACATTGAAAATTTTTAATTTATACAAAAATCATAAGCTGTAGTTTTAAATTTGGGACATTGAAATATATTTCCCAACAGTTATTTCGTTAAAAGTTCCCTTTGTCTGGTGTGATTTTCACGACATGAAAATGAACCAATTATGAATACATAGTAATATGAGTTGAGGCATACTTTTTTCAAATTACCGTCGGATTCAATTTGATTCACAACAAGAGTCTATGAACGCACCCATTTTCTTTGACCTACATCGTTTGACAGTAGAACATTCTAGATCATATTTGCAGCTACGCACCAACCGTGCCCTCACTGTGTTCCACAAAGTTGGAAAGCCAAGCAAAGAACTAAGAATTCTTAGGAGAAAAATCATAGGAAAAACTCCAATTCGATTGATTCCACAATAAAAAAAGCATCCTTGACTTTTGATGAAGACCATCAAAACATTGAAACAAACGGCAAAATGACGAGTGCAAATCATTCTCACAACAATTCGGTAAGTAGCTTCAATTGTTTTCTATGAAGAAAGTGATGATTGTAGCTTTCCCAAAATTGACTGCTACAATCAACCAAATTCTAATTATTATTTCATCTCGGTATTTTTCAAAGGGTCGCCATGACAAATTCTGTTGGAATTGTCATAAAAAAAGCTCAAACATATCATGCCCGAATTGCTTTCGATCATTCCACGAAAAGTGCCTGAAATCGACCGATGCTTTTCGTTGGAATGGCAAAGACAAGTCCCTGGTGAGCTGCACAGTTTGCACGGTCAAAGAAATGTCAAAAGAAGCTTGCGTCGGCATGTAAGTGTGAATGAAAATTTGGAACAAGTATTCCCTATGAAACATGACCCTTTTTCACTTCCAGGCAAGGTCTTTTAAAAATGCTGAAGCACACGATGGTCGACATTCTAAACAATTCAGACGTAAGTTAAGATCAATCACTGGTTTTCTCAAAAAGACACTTTCATATAGAAATATATGGAATAAAAAGTACTTTTTGGCATTCTTTAAACAGAATAGACCAATTTTAATCAAAAGTTGTTAACTGCAAATTGATAATTGCTCATATAATTTCAGTTCCGCATGTTCAAGGACTTATCAGCATGGAAGACGATAGCAAATTACTGCGATGACGTCGTCAATCCAATCGATTTGGACGAAATTGACCGAAAGATTTGTCGTGAGCTCTACAATAGCTTCTATGCATTCCTCGTTGATATTGATTGCATTTACCACAATTGTTTCGTTTACTATGGCGGTGAGTACCAATAGGGTGAAAGAGTAATGTAGATTTCCATTTAATGTTCCTTCAATTATTGTAGATCGTCACGAGTTCACTAAAATCGCTAGAAAAATGTTTGAAATATGTACACGTGAAACTGAAGCCATTTCAAGTTGTGCCGAATGTTACGAGAACAAGCACTTGCATCCAATGGAATGGCGTACAATGACATGCAACAAGCCACATTTGGTTCTATGGGCGAAACTAAGTCGATCGTTAAATTTTTGGCCAGCTAAGAAAGGATTTACACACTGGCCAGCAAAGTTAATAAGCATCGATGACAATTCATTTATCAATCTCAAAGTCATTTTTTTCGAATCATCCGAATTTGTTGATATTTCGGCACTTGAATGCTGGGTTTACTCCACAAAAGATGCGACTGCATTTAATCAGCGATTCTACAATCCAAATTACATTCATTTTGCTTTGAAGGTTAGTCAAGATAAAATTCAAAACAACATTTTCGAATATTTGTGACATATACTATTTAAACTCATCCTAGGAGGTCGATTTGTATGGAAAAAATATCGAGAAGAAATATGGGCGTTTCCAGAGCGATTTGGAATGCATTCAATTTGTTCGAGAACACCTGAATGATCACATGGCTGCAATGTTTCCGGACTATGACGGTTCAGTGGAGGTAATGGTACCCAGTCAAACTCCACCAATTGACGATGATATCGTTGATGATCGTCCAGCAAAACGGCCACGTTTGTCAACTGATACCGCCGAAAATCCAAATGATGGTTCGACAAAAGCTGTCGCAATACTTAAAAAGTACATGGAATTCGCCGAGCGTGAAATGACGGAACTCGAAAAAGTCAACAATTCAAAGGCCCAGCAAATAATGAATGAATTGAATCGTTCAAAAGGAGCACTTGCTGTTGCCCATGATGTTAATCGGAAATTGTCTTCGGAGCGGGACGAAGCAAAGCAAGCGGTGTTTAAATCAAAGGAAGTAGCAGCAAAAAGTGCAGAATTGATCAAGACAATGAAGGAGAAAATCGAAAATTTGGAGGAAAACAATGGGGTTTATAGACAAAAGATGGATGAAGCAATAGCGGATAAGGAACGCGTTCAAAAAGAAAAGAAAATAGTCGAAGAAAACTTGCAGAAGGCAACACGGGATCATAACGATGAAAAGGAGGCTTTGAGGACACAGATTAGCAACGAAGGCTTGAATAACTTATTGAAACTGCAAAAAAAGTTGGAAAAGGAGCACAACGAAGAATTGGATAAACTTCGCGAACAACACGAAATAGAGTTGGAGTGCGAGAAAAATCGTATTTCAATTGAAAACGAAAAATGGAAGGCGGAACAACAACAAAAAGTGAACAATTGGAGGAAGAAAATTCGCGCCACCGTCGACGAAAATTTCTCATTTTAAAGTGGATTGAATTTAATTTTCAAACCATTTTGATCGATTTATGATTCTTTTTATGATTCTTTTTTTCTAAATCAATCATTTCATTTCCAATCAAATATTTTTTTCGTTAGCTCAAGCGGAATCTTATATTCAAAATATCCAGAATATTCACAACTTTTTGTGATGAATGAAATCCCTTGCGTTGGCCTTACAATACCCGTGTGAAAAAGAAATGACTGACTGACTATAACTTCAGTTGACTTTAGTTGATTGAATTTATATTTTTGTTCTAAGAAAATCACTTGGTCCCAAATGAAGCAACTTAGATTGACTTGTAACTTCAAATGATTTCAGTTAACTATGATAGACTTACACTACACTTTGTACTGAAATGTTAATCAAAGTAAGTCATTTTTGTCCCAAATTAGTTAACTGACTGCTCAGTTACTATTTTTTCACACGGGTAAGAATACTTTCAAAATTGAATCAAATTAATGGGTAATTCGAATGTACGAACCATTTTGTAAGACTCATACATGTCTAACGAAATTCATAACCATATGAATTAAAATAAATTCAATAGAAAAAATCGAAATTGTTTTAATATTTAAATTGCCTAAAAAAACGTGCTTTTAATATACAGGGTGAGGCAATTGAACTGCAACCAACTTCAGACTGCTATAATTTGTAAACCGTCCATGATAGCGCGCTCAAATTTTGCCTCATGACAGCTAATTTTATTGTTTACAAGCCTGTTAAACGATTTGCGTTTCAGTTGTGTGCAAAATTTTTTATCCGCGATGGAATTCAAACGTGATAGTGTGATTGCTTTATATTTGGCTGGAAAACCACAAGTAGCTATCGTTAGAGCCCTCCAGCACCTCAACGTGAATAAATCATTTGTGTCTCGAACCATAGCTCGTTACCGTGATACTGGCAGCGTTGCAAAACGCCATGAAGGTGGTCATAAAAAGACAGCAACATCGGCAGAAATGGTTCGGAAAGTGAAGGCTCGAATTGAGCGAAATCCGCGTCGAAGTGGAAGAAAAATGGCTGCTGAGCTCAACATATCCGCTCGAAGTGTGCAACGAATATTGCAAAATGAGCTCAAACTGAAGCCTTTGAAGTTCCAAAAAGCACACGATCTTACACCGCAACAAAAAAAAGTTAGATTGGTTCGAGCTAAGGAATTGCTTCGTCGGGCCGAAAGTGGTGAACTGCCAAATTTGGTTTTTTCCGATGAAGCCCCATTCACGATTGAGCAGGTTGTGAATAAACAGAATGACCGAGTTTACTTGCCAGAGAGGTCTTTCGAAAATTTGCACCTTCGGACGGCCACCAGAAAGCAAGCACCACCGATGGTGATGGTGTGGGCTGCCATAACCGCCGATGGCCGCTCTCCGCTCGTATTTTTGGACCGTGGCGTCAAAATTAATTGGGCCATATATCGTAAAACTGTCTTAGAAGCAGTATTGAAGCCCTGGGCAGACAAACATTTCGGTCGGAGACCGTGGACATTTCAACAAGACTCGGCACCGTCTCACAAAGCGCGCGTCAACCAAGATTGGTTAAAAAACAGTGTTCCACACTTCATTTCTTCGACACAATGGCTGGCAAATTCTCCGGATGCAAATCCGTTGGATTTCTCTGTCTGGGGTATTTTGAAGGAAAAGGTTGGCACTAAAAAATACCAAAGTTTGGACCACCTCAGACAAGCACTTCGCCGGGAATGGGCCAAAATACCACAGAAACACTTGCGGGCAGCGTGTGATGGTTTCATTGGCCGTCTCAAAGCCATTATTCGTGCCAAAGGTGGACATATCGAAAACTACTGATACATTTTGAAATTTGATGTATTTTCCAACATTTTTTGCTTTGGAAAAATAAAATTCATCAAAAAATAAAAAAATTATAGCGTTTTCAAATGTTGCAGTTCAATTGCCTCACCCTGTATATTAACCCTTATAATGCATAAAACCGCCTCTAGACGGGCAACATTTCAACGCCTGTAGAACGTAAACCGTACATTGGATCACATTGCTTCAAAGGAAATTTTTATTCGTCAATGTTTTTTCTCTTTATTTTTGTCTTTGGCAATATTTCTCTATGTAGTGTGATTGTAAAGTTATAAACAAAAATGTGTGCAAAAACAAAAATTTGACAAAATAAATTATTCGAACTCCAAATTAGACACATTTTAGACACGTTTAAACAATGGATTTGATTGTTCTCTGATTTATGTCAACCAAGTACCAGTACTCCCAAAAAATCGCCATGGGAAAAATAAATGCATTAGAGGATTAATTCAAAAAAAGATAAAGCCAGCAAAGTTGATAATTTGTATTTGATAACAAAGTTTCTTCAATCAAAATTATATCGATGCTGCTTTGAAGGAAACTGACCAATATTTTAAAATATTCAAATTATTGAGAACTTTGTGACATACATAGTTTTGAATGAAATGTTATCTTTTTCCCCAGGAGGTTGATTTGTATGCAAAGAACGTCGAGAAGAAATTCGGCCGTTTCCAGAATGAATTGGCGTGCATACCGTTTGATCAAAACCATCATGATGCTCATATATCTGCAATGTTCCCAGACTACGAACGTTGGTCGGTACTGACGGTGAAGGAAATGCCATCCACTGAACCTCAACCGATTGATAACGATGAAGTTGATGAACGTCCTATAAAACGGCCACGTCTGTCAATTGATGCGGTTGAAACCCCGAGTCATGATTCGCCAGAAGCTATTGCAATAATACGAGCCAAATGCAAATCATCGAGCATGAAATGACGGAACTCAGAAGCGCCAGAGATAAAAGCGCCAGAGAGAGGTGATTTAGCTATGAAACTGGAGCTCATGGACGTCATTTGCTCATTTGGTTTGAAATATTCGTATTTTTCAACACTAAAATCATATAAACATGTGTGAAATGAAACTATAAATCGATTCTACGTCCAAAATTAGTTGGTAGTAATTTTCTATGCCATATGTGTGACTTTCAATCGATCGATAGTTTTATGAAGAAATGTCTAGGGGACATTATCTGTTCGCGATAATACATAAAAATTGTATATGTTATTCTCGAAAATGCGTAAAAATATGGAAAATTCAGAACGAATTTGGAAGAATTCGTACAAATTTGCACTCCCAATACGATATTCGTGATGTATATTACAACAACAAAATACATTGCCAATACCATTCTTACGGACGGATTAACGGTAGTTTTTTGTAGACAAAAGACATCATAGCGAACCTTTTTTTCTCTACCTGCTCCTATCACAACAACAAAATATATTGCACACTATGTTCTAATGGAACACCATTCGTGTGCTCTACAGATCCAATTCGCAAAATTCGTAAAATTTGTCATCTATTTAAAAATTCGTTGGAGTCGCAAAATTCGGAGTGAAACTGATAAATTTGTTTAACATAAAAACCCCTAGAGAATTGTCAATTTTCGACCAAACTTGTAGGAAAGATGGTGTTCAAGTGTGTTCAGGGACCCATATTCTTTTGACAAAAAAATAGTAGTTTCCTCAGATAAAAATATTGTAATGTAACAATGATCGCGCATTCTTCCATAACAAACAGTGCAATAAAACATCGGCACCAGAATGTCGGCTGTATAATGTTTTATGACCTATCATCCGGTGCAAAGCAACTTCAACAACACAGCTCATTTACTGAACACGTTTTCGGCTCACCTAAAACCGAAACGGATCGTTGCCCATCATAGAACTTCAGTTTTTGTTCAGTCGTGTTTTACGTATCAATCAATTACCATCAACAAACTAGCAGGCTAAGAAAAATTTCGCTTTGCCAAAAATTTCCCAAAAGGGCATCATTGACTTTTGTTATCAAAATCATCAAAACATTGAAACAAACAGCAAAATGTCGAGTACATCGAATATTACATTATGTCGGTTTCCCAACAATTTGGTAAGTAGCATCAATTATATTCTGTAAGAAAAGTTGAATGAGCATGTTCTTCAAAGAACTAGTATTTCTATGGGTGAGATTGAGAGTAGAATATGTTTTTTTTCGGATTTATATTTTTAAAAAGTCGAGTATGTTTTTCAGTGATTTTGTTTTAAGAAAAAGAGAGCAAGTTTCTTTCGACTTAAAAATAGTTAAAGTAGAGTAAGTATTTTGACTGCTTGTAGCTATGATAGAGGCGAGTATGTTTCACAAACCTTAATTTGCGTTAAACAAGAGTGTGTATTTTGTTAGTTTGGAATACCAATAAACAGGAGTATTTTTTTCCGACTTTGGTTATTGGAAAAGGCGAGCATGTTTGTTCGAATGGGTGAATATTATTAATTTATTTGAATTTCAAGTATTAGGCAGACATAATCAATAGAACTAATCGTTTGTACGTTTGGCGGCTTCCAATGAAACATACACTACTCTCAATCTCACCCTTAGATATATATAAATAGAATAATTCTCTTAACTACAAATAACGAAATTCCAATCGAATTTTCATCTCGTCATTATTTGAAGGGTCGCCATGACAAATTCTGTTGGAATTGTCATAAAACATGCACAACCATATCATGTCCGAAGTGTTTTCGATCATTTCACGAAAAGTGCTTGAAATTGACCGATGCTTTTCGTTGGAATGACAAGGACAAGTCCCTGGTGAGCTGCACAGTTTGCACGGTCAAAGAAACATCGAAAGATGCCTGTGCCGGCATGTAAGTGTGAATAAAAATTCGGAACAATTGTATTGGACAAAAAATGACACTTTTTCACTTCCAGGCAAGGTCATCTGAAAATGCTGAAGTACACGATGGTCGCCATTCTAAACAATTCAGACGTAAGTTAGGATCAATCACTGGTTTTCTCAAAGAGACACTTTTATATAGAAATATATGGAATAGAAAGTATCTTTTGGCATTCACTAAACAAAATAGACTCATTTTAATCCAAAGTATTTAACTGGAACTTGATAATTGCTCATTTGATTGCAGTTCCGCGTGTTCAGGGACTTGTCAGCATTGAAGAAGGAGGCAAAGTACTGCGATGACGTCGTCAATCCAATCGATTTGGACGAAATTGACCGAAAGATTTGTCGTGAGCTCTACGATAGCTTCGATGCATTCCTCGTCGATATTGATTGCATTTACCACAATTGTTTCGTTTACTATGGCGGTGAGTATCAATAAGCCGATTCGAGAAAATTTTACAGAATGAAGAAGTGGACAATAGGGCAAATCAGGAATGGAAATTCTTATTTTATATTCCTTCAATTATTGCAGATCGTCACGAGTTCACCAAAATCGCCAGAAGATTGTTCGGAATATGTAGACTTGAAACTGAAGCCATTTCAAGTTGCACCGAATGTTACGAGAACAAACACTTGTATCCAACGGAATGGCATACACTGACATGCAGCAAGCCACATTTGGTTCTATGGGCGAAAGTAAGTCGATCGTTAAATTTTTGGCCAGCTAAGAAAGGATTCACACACTGGCCAGCAAAGTTAATAAGCATCGATGACAATTCATTACCCAATCTCAAAGTCATTTTTTTCAATTCATCCGAATTTGTTGATATTTCGGCACACGATTGTTGGATCTACTCCGCCGAACATGTAAATCGGTTGAACCAGCGATTTTACAATCAAAATTACCGTAACGCCACTGACAACAAGGTAAGCCAAGATAGAATTAAAAAACAATATTTTCAAACCGTTGTGACATAAAGAAGATTTAAACTGAGTGTTCTGTCAAATTTGCGCACCAATACTAATTTCATTTCCATCCATGATTTTCTTCGTTTATATGTATAGAAACTTCTATTAAACGTTCAACATCTATGCTGACTGACATTTGTGTACGCTAATCAAGCGACAAACAAACACGCATAAACACACACCAACAGCATGACGATTGAACATTATTTCTGTTCTTACTCGTTTGCAGGCGATTGCTACATTCATATAGCAGCGTGTGAATGAAATGCAAACAGTCAACGTGCCGTTCTCTCCACTTATCGTAGCGGCACAAACATCTACTGTATTAAGACTCATAATAAAGCAAGCGTTTGACTGTATGCGAGAACAAAGCTGAAGGGGCGATAAAGGCTCTAACGCACGACAAAGTAACTTTGACAAATTATTTATATATATAATGGTGCGTTTAAAGTGACAGAACAGAAATCGGCATCTCAGTTTAAATGTAGTTTAAAACGAAATGTTGTCTTTTTTCCTAGGACGTCGAATTGTATGGAAAAAATATCGAGAAGAAATTTGGACGTTTCCGGAGCGATTTGGGGCGCATTAAATTTGTTCAGGAACACCTGAATGATCACATGGCTGCAATGTTTCCGAACTGCGACGGTTCAGCGAAGGTAATGGCGCCCAGTCAAACTCCACCCATTGATGATGATAACGTTGATGATCGTCCAGCAAAACGGCCACGTCTGTCAACTGATACCGCTGAAAATCCAAATGATGGTTCGACAAAGGCTGTCGCAATAATTAAGCACATGCAACTTATCGAGCGTGAAATAACAGAACTTGAAAATGCCAACCACTTAAAGGCCCAGCAAATGTTGGATGAATTGAATCGTTCAAAAGGAGCACTTGCTGTTGCCCATGAAGTTAATCGGAAATTGTCTTCGGAGCGGGACGAAGCAAAGCAAGCGGTGGTTAAAGCCAATGAAGTAGCAGCAAAAAGTGCAGAATTGATCAAGACAATGAAGTAGAAAAATGAGAAATTGGAGGAAAACATTGAGGTTTATAGACAAAAGATGGATAGGGCAATAGCAGATAAGGAAACAGCCGAAGAAAATTTAAAAAAGGTAACGCAGACACACAACGATGAAAAGGAGGCTTTAAGGGCACAGCTCATTAACGATGGCTGGAATAAATGATCGAAACTGCAAACAAAGTTGCAAAAGGAGCACAGCAAAGAATTGGATCAACTTCGCGAACAATACGAAAAACAGTTGGAATGCGAAAAGAATCGTGTTTCAATCGAAATTCAGGAGTGGAAGGAGGAACAACAACGCAAACTGGCTGACATGTATAGCTGTGCTCACGATTTTTTTTTATCAAGATATCGTAATAAACTAAAAATATCGTTCGATATCGTTATTATGATGGAATCTTAATAACGCTATCAACTTTTTATCAGGATATTAACTATATTCAAATAATAACGTTATCGGATGAATCTTAATAATATCG